GGAAGGAAGGAAGGAAGGAAGGAAGGAAGGAAGGAAGGAAATGGAAAGTGTTGGCAAGGATGCAGAAAAATTGGAACCCTTGTGCTCTGCTGGTGGAAAGTACAGTAACATAGCCACTATGGAAAATGATATGGCATTCCTCAAAATTAAACAGAAAACTGCCATATGATCCAGCAATTCCACTTTGGGGTATATACCCAAAAGAAGTGAATGGAAAAACTGGAACAGATATTTGTATACCCATGTTCACAGCAGCATTATTTACAATAGCCAAAAGGTAAAAGCAACCTAAGTGTCCAAACAACATGTGGCATATATGCAAAATATTATGAACATTATTCAGCCTTGAAAAGGAAGCAAATTCTGACACGCAATACAACATGGATGAACCCTGGGGACATTTTGCTAAGTGAAATAAACTAGTCACTTATTATTCCACTTATATGAGGTACCTAGAGTAGTCAAATTCAGGGACAGAAAGTAGAATGGTTGTTGCCATGAGCTGGCAGGAAGGGGAGATGGGGAGTTATTGTTTACTGAGCACAGAGTTTCAGTCTGGCGTGATGAAAAAGACCTGGAGGTGGATGGTGGTGATGACTGTATAACAGTGTGAATATACTTAATGTCACTGAACTGCACACTTAAAATTAGTTAAAATAGTCAATTTTATGGTAAATATATTTTACTACAAAAAATATAATAGTTGTGTATATGTGACCTTGACAAGTTGATTTTAAATTTACATGGAAATGCCAAATATCAAGAACAACTAAAAAAACTTGATAAAAAAGGTGTGAGGACTACCTCTAACAGATATCAAGAATTACCATAAACTTATAGTAACTGAGATAGTATGATATTGATATCAGGATAAACAAAAATACTAAGAAAAGTCCAGAAATAAATCCACACATACATGAATAACTGATTTATGTCATAGGTGACACTGCAGAACATATTTTTAATAATTAGCTCTGAAATAACTGGATATCCTTATATAAAATGTCAAATTGGATACAACTTAAATTGGACTCCCTATTTACAGAATCAATTCAGGAGGATTAAATAAATACCCAAATATGAAAGGCAAAACTAAAGCTCTCAGAAGATAATATAATGTTTATATGATCTTAGGGTAAGGAAACAGTTATTTTATTTAAAAGACATGAACTAGAAGACAGTTAAAACACATAAAATTAGTGATGGACTGATTCTCCACATATTGCAACTCTAGGGCAGGGGTTGTGAGAACATATAAAGAATGCTTCCCTACATATGAAAAAGGGGGAAAGGGACAACCCTATAGAAAAACAACATGAAAGGTACTTCATAAACATGAAAATCTAACTGGTAAATGAAAATATAAACAGGTATTTAACCTCACTGGCAAGAAGAGAAATTGAAATTAAAATCATATCTTTATAAACCAGATTGACTAAAATTTAAGAGTTTATCAGTACAAAATGTTGGTAAATATTTTGTTGTGGGACAACAGAAACTACTATACACTGTTGGTGAGATTACTAATTGGTACCATCGTTACTTTGGAAATGACTTTGTATTTTCCGATGAAATTGAAGATAAGCATATCCCATAGTATATACCCTAAAGAAATACATGATCATATAAACCAAAATATGTTATAGAAATGTTCTTAAAAGTATATCTGTAATGGCTCTAAACTGAAAACAAATCAGACAACTATTAATAGTAAAATGAATGAATAAATACATTTATACAATGAAATGAAAGTGCATAAACTGCATATACGTACTACAAAGTGGATTAATTGTTGCTAAAAGAGGTAACAAAAAAGCAAATGCAATTCAAAATAAGGAAAAATTAGATCATATTGTTTTGGAATGCATATGTAGGTGGTAAAACTTAAGAGAATAGCAATGAAATGATTATCATAAGCTAGGATAGTGATTACTTCCAGTGAGGAAAAAACGATTATGATCTAGAAAGAGACATGGTAGTTTCTGGAATACCAGTAATGTTCTATTTCTTGAACTGGATGGTTCCAGAAACATATGTTATATACTTTTCTGCATACATGTTATACTTCACACTTTTAAAAAAGGGATGGTAAGGATAAACTCCATGCCATACAGATAAATATGGCTAGAGAAAAATCAGTTATGCTGACTGGTTTATAACCATGAACCTTAAAAGGAGGTTCAAGCTGCCAAGCAATCATATTATGTTTCCCTAGTCCATTTGCCTGCCTACTCTCTTAGAATAATATTTTATACCTTTCTGTTCTTAAATTTCCAACATCTCCTCTCCTATCCCCACCTTCAATTATGGTTGTGTTTCCTCTCCCACTGAGTTTTTGTTTTCCTGTTGAAACTGCTCTGCCAAAACTGCTCATCAAGATAATCAATAACCTCTAATGGTCAACTGTCACTGTCATCATCTTACTCATCTATCAGGACCATTTGACAGAGGTGATCACTCCTTGCTCTTTGATAGATTTGCATCACTTGGTTTCCAGTGAACCACTCTCTTCTGATTTTCCGCTTATATAACTGCTTACTCCTTCTCAGTCTCACTGCTGATTTCCTCTTATTTAATGTTGGAATATCTTTCTATACTCATTCTCTTGGCAATCTCATCTAGTCTCATGACTTAAATACATCTTTATATTAATAATTCCAGTTCAGACCCCTCTCTTAAACTCTAGACTCACTTATAATGACTAGACATCTGAAATCCCACATATCCAAAATTAATTTCCCAAGTTTTCCTCCAAAACCTTCCCCACCACTTATTAACCATCTTTATTTCTATTTAAGGCAATGCCATCCTTCCTTTGCTGAGACCAAAAATTCTAGATTCATCCTTGTTTCCACTCCCCACATCCAGTCCATCAGTAAACCCAATGTATTCCATCTTCCAAATACATCCAGATTTTAAGATTTCTTCACCTCCTCCTTTGCTACCACCCTACCCAAGCCACATTCATGTCTCACTTCGATTACCACAACAGTCTATTCTGGACTCTCTGCTCATACCCTTGAGCCCTCTATACCCTGTTCTTAACAGTGACAGCAGAAAAATCCTTTTAATATTTAATTTAAATCTTATCTCGCCTCTGTTCAAATTCCTACAATGGCTACTTGACTTCCTCAGAGGAAGAACCAACTATGCATGCCTGTTTTATCCTAGGACAATATCAACATCATTTTATTTACGCATTTTCTTTCTGGGTTTAGGAAACACAAATAAACACACAAAATGGAGCCTAAAAAAGTGATTCCCAAAGCCAGTCCTCAAACTTCTTCTGGTCTATGAATAGTTTTTACTTACTATTCACTGTATGATGACAGTACAGAGCATTTTTAACTGTCTGTATTTACTTCTTTTAACATGATTTTTCCTATTTTTTGTTGTTAAATTTTATGTTTTTCATAAAATAATCGTTATTGTAATGTAAATGGTAGGTTTTTAACATATTTTATTATTTGGAAAATAAAACTGGCATAACTGTTTTAATGACTTTTTCTCTATTTCTCCTTTCCATTCTCTATGCATTTTCTCTGCTGAATTAAAAAACAGAATATTTTTACTGGCATATGAAATTGAAAAGTGTAGGCACTACTAACCAAAAAAATTTAACAAGAATGTACCTGCACTAAAAGCTCACTAAATCATAGCTAGGAGAAACTATTTTGGCTAGAGTACTACACCCACACCCCTCTCCATCTCTGTCAGTACTAGCTATGCGACATAAGTTTTTTGCCCTTCAGACTCTCTATTCTTCATCTAGAATATCCATTATAGTACCCATTTCATAGAAATGTAAAAATTAAATGAGATGATACATTTAAAATATACTGACACATAATAGCTACCTATGTGTTTTGTTAATGCAATGTTAATAATACATTGGTGTGTGGTGGCATAGAGAGTGGGGAGGTCAATGGGAGCAGACCACCCTAGCACAAAGGAGTATTTTATCCACTTATGTTTAGAACTGCTGGCACACGGTTATAATAAAAAGCATTTGGGACAGTTTCATTATTGTTTTTAAATTCGCTGCAGACCATGGACCCTTCTTCCCTTTACTAGGATACACCATAGCAAAAGACCATCCCTCATATTCACACATTCATTATGAACTGAATGTTAGGCATAGTGCATAGCAAAGATTTCAAAAGGTAGTATTAAGAATATGGTCACCATGTATTCTTAAATGAACCAAGAATAATTATTGATCAACTACAATTATTCGCTTACCTTTTTTGAATTTATGTATAGGGAGTTTCTTAAGTTGATCTTTATGAAGTCTGTTTCTTCTAGCTCTATGTCTATCCTGGACAAATTTTGTGATCTAAAAGTAAAAAGGAAAAAAAAATGAACCATATATTAAACATGCAAACAGAAAATGCCATTAAAATAACAAATATCTTTTAAGTATCTGGATAACTGCTGCAAATCAATTCTATTTTACTTAATGAATCTTAATGGCAATATTATTAAAGCATTAAATTACATTAGTGATTAATTATATCATTAAATTATCCTTTGAATTTTTATTCATTGATCTAAATTATCTTTAATTTACCCTGACAGAAACATTATAAATAACATATAACTGTTTGTTTGCAAAAATACAAATGGTAAACTATAGATTACAAAGACTCCACTGGGTCAAGAAGGAGAGAGTTGAAGTACCTGTAAGTTATGAATTAAAAAAAAATTTCAAGCATACACTTATTAGTCACTGCACTTTCAGTTCTAGCAGGAAATACAGAACATCTCTACTACAAGTATTCAGATATGCTGGATAACATACAAATGATTTTTTAACTATAAATTACTATGCTTGCAAGAATAAAAAGGAAACTCACAGGACTAGAATCAAATGCTAAAAGTAACATCAATAAAAGAAAATTCTGACAAATTTTACCATATCAATATTAAGGATTTCCATTCTCAAATGACAATTAAATGATAAAAGACAAGTCATAGACTGGGAAAAAAATATTTGCAAACTGCATATCTGATAAGGGATTTGTATCCGGAACAGAAAAAGAACTCAAAACTCAATAACAAGAAAACAAGTAAACCAAAACAAAAAAATGGGCAAAATAGTTGAATAAATACTTCACCACAGAATATATACAGATGACAAAAAAGCACTTGAAGAGACGTTCAACAAAGTAGTCAACAGGAAAACAAAAATTCAAATTACAACTATCACAATGCACCTATTAGAATGGCTAAAATTAAAAAGACTATATGAACTGTTGGCAAGGAAATGGAGAAACTGGCACTTTGATACACTAATGGTTAACATAAAATGGTTCTGCCATGTTGAAAAAAAGTTTGGTTGATTTCTTACAAATTTAAACACACATTTACCATATAACCCAACTATCCCACTCCTACCTATATTTACCCAATAGAAATGAAAGCGTATATCCAAATATCAATTTGTATACAAATGTCCATGTCAGCTATATTTGCAATAGCCAAAAACTAAAAACAATCTAAATGTCCATTAACAGATAAATGGATAAACAAAACTGATATATTCATATAGTGGAATATAACTTGTCAATAAAAAGAAATGAATAATCAATGTACATTAACTTATATGAATCTCACAATAATTATTCTGTGAGAAAGAAGGCAGACATAGAGTACATAACTGATGATTCCATATATAAAGGTGAAAAAAATCTATACTGACGAAAAGCGGAACTGTGGTTGCCTACTCTAGCGATGGGGGTGAGTGGGACATGAAGGGGAAATTAGAAAATTGGAAGGGGTTAGAAAAAGGGACTACCAAGGAGCATGAGAAAACTTTTTGAGCTGATTGATATTTCATTATCTTGATTGTGGTGGTGGTTTTACAGATATATATATTAAAACTTGCCAAATTACATAATTAAATATGTACAGCTTATTATATGTTAATCATACATCAATAAATGCTTTTTAAAAAAATTAACAGTGACCATTAGACTAACAATATAATGTAAGCTTTCACACTAGTGGGGGAGAGAGAAGACAGAGACTAAGAGAGAATGAGAATAAATAAAAGGGGAGCAGCCCAAATTTGTACAGAAGAAAAAAAAAACAATAAAAAGTAAGCAACAGAAATTAGTCTAAATATATGTGTAATCACAAAAATGTAAATGGACTAAATTCATCAGTTTTTTTTTTTAAAAGAGTGTATCATTTTGGATAAAGAAAAAATTCCAACTATTAGCTATTTACAGGACACAAGATTAAAATTTAAGAACACATTCAGACAAAAATAAAGGCAAAAAATAAAGGTATTAAGATATACCATGACAATACTTGTGATGGTATATCAAGTAAAATAGAATTTAAGACAAAAATCATCATTAGGAGATAGTTATGACAATGCTAAAAAGGATACTTCACCTAGAAAATGACAAAATTATGAGAGAGCACAGTTTACAAGCTCAGTAATTTGTAGCTCCAGCAGACAAAAAATTTAAAGATTATAGACCTATGCTGCCTACCACGGTAGCCACCAGCTACATGTGGCTCTGAGCATTTAAAATGCGGCTAGTCTCAACTGAGATTTGTTATGAAAGTATAAAATAAATACCAGATTACAAAAACTGAGTACAAAAAGAATGTAAAACATATTTTACAATTATTTATATTAACTGACTGTTGAAATATGTTTAAGATTTAGGTTAAATATAGTATTTAAATTAATCTCACCTGTTTCTTTTTACCTTTTTAATTTGGCTAGCAGAAAATTTAAAATTACAATAAATTGTGGCTCACAATATTGTTCTATTGCTTAGCACTGCTTTAGAAAATAGAGGAGTGCAAAAAACCATAAACAATTGTGATGACTGCATAATTCTATACATATACTAAAACCCACTGAACTGTACACTTTAAATAGGTCAATTTTATGTTATGTGAATATTTCAATAAAGCTGTTTTAAACATAGTAAAAAAAAACCCCAGCAAAACAAAAACAAATGCACAGGCTCAAATAAGTGGACATATATGGAACATTGCACGTCGCAATTCTTTTTACACACATGGGGTATAAGTAAAAAATATAAACAAAAACCATGTCTTTGGAAATAACAAAATAATCCATAACATATAATGTTTTCTGACCACAATACAACTGAATTAGAAATAGGAAAAACGACATGAAACAAAATATATATTTTTAACATTAAAAATTTTTTAAATAGTTCACAAGTCACAAAAGAAATCACAATGGATATTTCAGTGTTTGAGAGACTCTTATAAGAGGCGTGCTTTACCACCTGTATTCTAAATAACTCAAGAAATAGATGGTGAACTGGCAGATGGAGACAAGTGGAGTACCCAACTCGGTGAAGAAAGAAATAGAACTTGTTACTGAACCACAGAATTAGTTTGCCTTACCCACCCAGATATAGACAAACTCTGGAATGGAATAGGTCTCCCCTTCTCCTTCCCCCAAAATTGCAGTACCAGTTCTAGAGTTGAAGAAAGGTTGGTCCCGGGAGAAGAGTGGAGCTGAGTCAAACATGCCATAATTTATTCTTCCCAAATGTACCACATAAATAAGATACTCCATCTCTCCTATGATCAAGTGAATGAAAGGGCAGGTAGGGAAGGACTAGGAGTTATAGTAATTGAGTTTCCCTTCCATATGGATGGAGACATCAAGACTGGTAAAGAAACATATATATAAAAGAATGAAAAAAATTTTAACTTAAACCAAATAAAAATAAAAATATTCTTCATGAAAATTTATGAGTAACGGCTAAAGTGATTGTTAAAATTTATAACCTAAATGTATATACTAGAAAGAAAAAATTTAATTAAGCATTCAGCTGAACAAGCTAAAAGAAGAAAAACAACATATCCGAACACAGTAGAAGAAACAAATAATTATGCTAAGAGCAGAAATTCATGATAGATAAAAACGAAAGTGAAGACTTCAGAATGTAAGTTGCATTAGATGTAAGATGTTTGACATCAGGGATTTTTACCTATTTTATTCAATGATGAATCTTCAGACCCTAGAGCAGTGCCTAGTTCATCCTAGGTACAGAATAAATATTTGTTGAATAAAAGGAGAAGAAAACCTCAAAATCTACTCCTTTGAAAGTAAAAACAGATAAACTTCTGACAGCACTGTGTAAGGCACAGATGGATATGAACAAAGAATTCAAAAAAAAAAGGGAGAGAATTCATTCCATATATAGCAGAAATTCTCTTTACATTGTTATAAATATTATAAATCATTTTATGCCAATTTCTTAAAAATATAATGTAATATGAAGTAGACAATCATCTCAATGTCCATGTAACTTTGAAATAAGTCAGCAGATCTACATGATTTTATAGACAACCTTCACCAAAGTCAAGTAATAAATAATGCCAATTTTATAAAAAAAAAAAACTATCTTAGAAAATAGAAAATAAGGGGAAGCTTCAATTTTATGGGGCTAGTTTTTACCTTGTCTAGTTATTTTTATATTAAATGTACAGTTCTGTGGCACTACATACATGCAAATGTGATATCATCACCATCAACCATAAAACTCTTTTCATCTTGTAAAACTGAAACTCTGTACCCATTAAACAATAATTGCCCATTCTCCCCTACCTTCAGCCACCTACAACTACCATTCTACTTTCTGTCTCTGAATATGACTACTCTAGATACTACATATAAATAGAATCATTCAGTATTTGTGACTAGCTTATTCATTTAGCATAATGTCCTCAAGGTTCATCTATGTTGCAGCATGTGTCAGAACTTCCTTCCTTTTTAAGGCTGAATAACATTCCATTGTATGTATGTACATCACATTTTGTTTATCTATTCATTCATCGATGGATAATTGGGTTGCTTCCACCTTTGGCTACTGCAAATAGTGCTGCTATGAACATAGTATCAAGGCCTTGCTTTCAATACTTTTGGGTATATACCCAGAAGTGGAAATGCTAGATTATATGATAATTCACATTTAAATTTTTGAAGAATTGCCATAGTGGCTGCTCCATTTAACATTCCCACCAATAGTACTCAGGGGATTGTCTAGTTCTGATGTTAAGATCATTCTAGCTCCATAAAACCAATTTTCTCTTACCTGGATATTCAGATAGCTAATATTTTATTTAGGATTTTTGCATCTATGCCCAAGTGTAAAACTGACCCATATTATATCCAAAATAACCCATATTATAATCCAAACTGACCCATATTATAATCCAAAATAAAAAGACAAAATTTATACACAATAATCAAATAGAGTTCATCCCTAAAACATAAGAATTTTTAAGTATATAAAACAAATTAATGTAATCCAACATAAGAATAGAAGAAAAACCAATGACCATTACAACAGATAGAAGACAGACATAATTCAGCATCCATTCATTATTTAAAAAAAAAAAAAAAAAAGAAAATAAAATTTTGGTTTCCTTATTTCGAATCCTTGTACTGCTTTTTTTTGTTGTTTTACCAGAAAATATAACACAATGCTAATAGAAGGTACAACAATAGGCATCCTTTTTTTTGTTCCTGACTTTCAAGGGAAGGCTTCTAAAAATTTACCATTTAATGATATTTATTTTATGTTTTTAGTCAATAATCTTTATTAGGTTAACTGTATTTACTTCTATTCCCTGTTTGCCAAGGATATTTTTGGTTTGTTATTCTAACTTTATATACTTCCTTGCTTCTACACTGAAAACCCAAGAGAATCAACCAATTCAAATTATCAGAATAGGAGAATTCATTCGGCAAGTTCACAGATACAAAATTAATATATAAAAATCAATATTGTCCAAATCATGGTTTATAACTAAAACTCCTGAATAAAAGAAACCAGGGCTCCTGAGAGGAATGTCTGACTCTAGGTTAGGGCAAGAAAAATATAAGATGAGCCAAAGTTTATAGTACCAGACACTAAAAAAGTGCTTAAAAAACTAAAGGATGGATCAAATCAAAGGAATGCAGGAGCAAGCTTAACAGTGTTCCCAATAGCTCAAACAATTGAAACAACAAAAATAAATAATGTAGTATTGGATAATAACCCAAAGTATAAAATAAGTGAGTACCTATTAATATAAATAAATGATTTGATGGATGGATGGATGGATAGATGGACAGAGAGATTGATAGATAGATAGATAGATAGATAGATAGATAGATAGATAGATAGATGAATGAATGCATGCATGCCAAGAAGAAAAGAATTTTCCTAACAAAAGAATTTTAATTGATATATGTAGATACTCCTTCCCGCCCCCAGGAAGTGAAGCTTAATTCCTGCCCTTCTCCAAGTTTATTGTAAAACCAAGTTTATTGTAAAAAAACGATAATGTTCTTATGGCCTAGTAATAACCAATTAGAAAATGCAATTTCAAAAGTCTAACAAAAGATATGCAAACTGATTACAGAAAAACTAAACTGATAGATATGAAAGACCTAAATAAATAAAAAGAAACACCATAACATCGCAGAAGACTGAACATTTCAAAGATGGCATTTAATATTTAAATTAATCTATAAATTCAATATGATTATAAACTCAATGTATGTGAAAGAAATATTCTTTATGAAAAATATACAAAAAAGTGAGAACAGTGGAATTTTTTTATATCTTTGCAATTCTCTTAATATTTATCTTAATAGAATACAGAGTGAGTCTCATATCTGCTTCTGCCTTCGATATTTAGCACATACCAAATAGCTTCTAGAAACCTCCACTATAAACCCTGAGAGAATAAACAAATAATATCTTACTATTATTATGTAAATATAATTCTGACCTCACAGTTCCACTAAGAGTCCTGGGACCATACTTTGGTAACCACTATTTTGGAGAAATAATGTGTCACTCCCCTTAACCTCAGGCCTTCACACTATTTTTTTAACTTACATTTCATATAAAAAAATTTAAACATAGAGAAGAGTTAAAGAATTTTAAAATAAATATTCACATATCCACTACCAAGATTCTACAATTAACATTTGACCGTACTATTTATCACATATCTATCCATCCCACTACCCATCGATACATTTTTTTTCTCTTAATTTTTTACAAAGTAAGTTGCAGGAACGAGTATACTTTCCCCAAATACTTCACATGCATATCATTACTTAGAGTTTAATTTTTTTTAATTATCTTTTCTTCTTAGGTAAAATTTAAATACAATGAAGTAAACAAAATTTAAGTATACAATTTGATGATTCTGACATTAGTACAACCCAAACTTCTCTTAAGATAAGTACCATGATTCGAACCCCCAAAAGTTCTCTCATATCCTTCTCAATAAATGCCTCACTTCTCCCTAGGCACCCAGAAACAATCACTGTTCGGATATTTTTTTTGTCCAGACTATTTTGCCTTTTCCAGAAGCAGTCATATAAATGGACTCATAGAATACTCTTTTATGTAAAACTTCTCTCACTCAATATGATGTTTTTTAGAGCAAACGATTCCCAACCCCGGAGCCACAGACCAATGCCAGCTGTGGCCTGCTAGGAACGGGGCCGCACAACAGGTGAGTGGCGGGCAAGTGAGTGAAGCTGGATCTGTATGTGTAGCTACTCCCCAGCGGAAGCATCACCACCTCAGTTCCACCTCAGCTCCACCTTATCAGGCTAATAAGGTTCTCATAGGAGCACTGGTCCCTGGTACCAAAAAGGTTAGGGGATCACTGCTTTAGAGCTATGTATACTATTTTTTTAAGTATTTAAAATTAATTTACCTACCATGAAAATGACTATCAAGATGAGACAGATGCCAACTATGATGAGGAAGGGGATTAGGTAGTACTCCAGTGGAAGACTGAATTCTGGAACTAAGACAACATGGCCCCTAGAAGAAAACAAAGATTAATAAATGGGAATATTAAGAGCTGCCAAATTATGATGCTAATCAAAAACAAAAAAGATTTTTTTTAAAAAAGGATTTAGACATTATAATTCAATCCATGAGACACATCTCATTTTCTAATATATGATTTCCAATAACTTAAGGGATAATTTTTTCCAACTTTAAGTCTATTTTACATATTTGTCAAAATAATTTGCCTATACAATTAAAAGAAGCTTCTAGACTGGGTAGAGGAAATCAGCCAATCAATACTTACTATGTCCATCCTGGAAACATGTTATTTACTGAATTTAGCAACCTGGGTAAAAGTATGCATATCTTACATGCAAAATTAGCATTAAAAAAATGGCAATACCTTGGATAGTATGTAAACAAGAACTTCCACCACAACCAAATTACTGTTCATCAGTTCCTCCTACAAAAAAACTCTAGAGCCACCATTGATGAAAATAGATTCCCTCCTCCCTACATTCTTTATATGAACTTGCTGTACCAGATACAATAGACATAGCCCCCGTACGCTATACTCTTTGAGAAATGAAATGGAAAACTGGTAAAGGAATTCACAGGAATTGTAGCTTCCTCTCTATTCTCCATCTTCTCCATTGCTTAACTGCGATCAAAATAGGCAAACTCTTTGTGTTTCGTGAGCAAATTTTACATGGCAGCAAAATCCTTCATTAGAAAATATCTTCAGTCTAGGGAAGGTTCTGTAAACTGGTCAGTAATATGACTGATTTCTCCGTTGTACTACTGTGCTACACAACAAGTATGGTGCTAGCAACACTACTTTGTTACCCACTGCTGGGTTATTATTTTTTTAAGTAGGGAAGCCAGGTACTTCATAATACAAAGTTTAAATGTAAAACAAAAACTCTCAATTTTATAAATGAAAAAAACGATTAGAGTGATTCCTTTTCCCATATAGGGATGCTTAGGATATCATAGTACTTAAGAAAAAATAAAATGAAAGCAAATTATTTCTCTTCTAAAGCAATTTTTACGTTTTCATGCTATTATTTATTATATTCACATCCAAGGAATTATATCAAGCTTCGCCAGAAACAAAACAAACAAAAAGTTAATAACAGGAATTTCTCCCCAGTTTAAATTATTTACATTATATTTTCCAAAAACCTGCTAAGATTGCTAGAATAAAAGTAGCTTTTTACTTCAATCACTTTCAAGAAGAATAGGGGGTGATAAAAAATTACATGTATTTTTGTAACTTTACATAAAATACTAAAGTGATTGATATATCATCAGCATAAAAAAGAGAAAAGTAGGGCCTGGGCTGCTCTACTTACTACCATCTCTCAGCATGAGGCCAGCTTGGTAAATAATGTCCTTGTTCTTGGCACAAACTCTCTGAAACCACCCCCAGTCAGGGCTGAGATACAGTAACAGAGGCCTTGCTTTTAAGTAGAAGAGCCTTTCCATGAAATGCTAATCCTCGGCAATCTCCCTACACCACCCCTGCCAACCTGCTGTAAGTTAACATTGTTAGAGTTTAGAAACCAGTCTACTGAATATTCTAAATGCAACCCATGTAGCACCTAAATATCTCAGCAATAGGAAAGCTTACAACTCTTATATTGTTTTTTCTTCTCCTTTAAAGTTAAGGAATTCCTAAGATACATTTGGCCTGAATGAGATATACAAATAAACACTGTGGCAAGTGTTATTTTTCCTGAGACAAGTCTGAAGACTGCTCAGAAATAAACAAAACTGCTGGGTGAGAAGAAGTAAGCTAAAGAACAAAGCAGGAAGGCCCAGTGAACTAGAAATTAGAGACTTTACTGGAAACTTATCGTGTGTGTGCAACAAAAGAAACAATCAATTCTACAATTTCCTAGTAAGCATGTTAGAATTCATAGGCCTGGGTTCTAAATCTAATGTTCTACATATCCTATTAATTGCTGCCTGTTATATCTCAAATCATTTTAGTTTACTGTGAGGATTTTTAAAGGGTCTACAACTGATAGAAGGTTGTAAGCATCTGAAATCGAAATCCAAATGTACATTCAATATATTGCTTTTTTTTAACCGAATTGCTAATGGTGGGAGGGGTGACAGTGATGATACAGGGTGGAGAATTATAACAGAATACTAGTCCTCTAGTTTTATTTCTATTTCCTCTATCTGTCCAGACTCTCACAACTGAGCCTGCAGATTCATCCCTATCCTAATCCCAGATCAATTTGTATTTGAAAAAGGAGATATTCAAACAGTTTTACTAAGTATCTTACCATACTACATACATATCCACCCCAAAACAGTATACTGCATGAGCTCTGCAGCTAAGATCTGATCATTGAAGTAGAGTCCTAAACAACCCAGGAAATAGTGTCTTATTTTACTTTCCACGAACTCCAGGACTAATTTCAAACTGGATGTATATGCCTAAACTTACTTGCCTGAACTTGCCCCTTTCAGATAAAGCTGTCAGTTACCTTACCAAATATCCTACACCATTTACTAGACAGGCCCATTTCTCAACCTGTGTCTTTATTTGCGGCAAACCTTGTTTTGCTGCCAGCACAACACCCTGTCTTTTGAAGAATCCTGAGGCAGCACAATAGCAGTTTAACTTCATCAACATTTACTTATCATCTCCTTGATGCACAAGGAGCTAGGCACAAAATATGAAAAACTAGAGTCTCTAAACATGGGAGAGAAAATGGAGAGTCTAGAGTTGAAAGGAACTTCAAGGATTGTTTGTTCTAGCTCCTCACTTTCAAAAGAGAAGATAGGTCCATGAGAAAATGAAGAAGTGGGGAAAGGTGGGCAGGAGGAAAAGGGAAGAGAGGAGGAGAGAGGGGATCGGAAGAGAGGGGGAGGAAGAAGAGGAAGCAATGATCAATGATTGCTAACATAAAGTATTCTTCCCTTATCCTCCTGGCCTTCCAATAACAGTTGAATTAGAATAAACCTTGAGCTCTAATTAGCAACTTAAAGGTAAAATAAGTAACAAAGGAATATTCTAGACTATATCTCCAAGGATTCAATCAGAAAAGTCCAGAATGTGGTAAAATTTTATAGGACAAATTAAAAGAAACTTAAGACATAAGAATCATTGCAATATATAAACAGTATTTGAAATATTTAAAAAAAGAAGAATTTCAGACAGTTGGGAAAATCTGAAGACAAATACGTTTTGATATTGAATTAACGTTTACTTTTTTAAAAAGGTATAATAATAGTTATGTTTTTTATATATAATCTTATCTTCTAGTGATATATTCTGAGATCATTTAAGTTGAAATGATGGGGTATCTGGGACTTGCTTCAAAATAATCATAGTATGTAGAAGAAAGGGAGGTGAAAGGGAGCTAGAGACAGTCCAAATAAAATTGGCCATGAGCTGATAATTTTGAAACTAAATGATAAAATTCATTATGCTCAGCTCTTTACTTTTAAATGTTTAAAAGTTTCCATAACAAAAAGTAGAATAAATTAATGAGTGAGCAGGTAGGTAGGTAATGTAGGTCAGTAGGTAGGCCACTGGCCAACTGGCAAATGTATGAGGCAGATTTGTATGTACAATTGTCCCTTATGCACAATTCAGAAACCTATAAAGCTTTTAAAATAATGTTTGCAACTCATTTCATAGTCAATCTGGAACCGACATGATAAAATACTCATACGTTCATTGCAGATATATATAATTTGTTTGATTATGGGATGCTCCCTCAAATTCTATTTGGAATGTTACTTGACTTTTAAAAATCTGAAAAATTTTCAGTTCCACAATACATCTGTCCCAAGACTTGGGATAAGGAAATTTGTGGGCTTGTATTAATATGCAAAGGGCCTAAATACTAAGTAAATAAAGAATGTTACAAAATATTATGTATTTTATGTTTGTCTTTTATGAGTACGTTATCACTAATTAATGTATCAATATGGGGAAAAAATTAAAAGCTTTCTTAAAACAGTAGCTATTGTTAGAGAATAGCATCACAGAAACTTTCATTTAAATGCTTTATATTTCTGAACTGTTCCATATTTTACCAACATGTATTACTTTTTAAATTTTAAAATATATGATTTTATAATTAAAAACAAAAAAAACTTAAAAATATATTAAAATATACAGAATTTTTCTAATGAGGGAACAATATTGAGGTAAAAGCAAATATTAGTTCTCACTCTCTATTAACTATAAAAAATGGCTGACAAAATAGCATCTTGATTAACTACTTTTAATACAACATCCAAAATTACATCCCTAATGTAATAAAGATGTTCTGGGCATATATGTGAATAGTATTTCAAATATCAAAACTGAATAGGGAAAATGGCAAAAACAGAAAACCTTTTCCTTTTTTATACATGTTCGAACTCAAATATTCATAGATTTATTCCCACTGAATAATCAGAATTGGATTTTATTGTACTGGTTTTCTCTCTTGGCAAATGTAGATAATAAGAGATTATAATTACCTCTAGAGTGTTGTTGTGAGAATTAAATGGATAACAAATATAACTCTTGGTTTGATGAGTACCTAGCACTTGCTAAATACTCAATAAATATTACTGCTTTTATTATTAACATTGTTATTGTTTCTCTTCATCAAAAGTCTGTTCCCACTCACTATGTTTTGGAGATCTATGTCATGGAAGAAGCTCTGAAGTGTTGACTGCAGTATTTTCTATATTAGATGAGACAGCTATGCTTTAAGTTATTTTTTAGTCTATGTTACCCTGATAATGAGATTTTGGGGAGAAATTCCATATAAAAGTTTTTATTATAAATCAAACTTTTAAAACCTGTAAACAAATTTTTTGTCTCTGTAAAAGTTAATCACTTAATACACTGTGTTTTGGATTCTGTGTTTATAAAATAACAAATTTCTTTTTCATAAAATACAAACATGTCTTAAAGAAATGAAAAGTGTTATATAAATATAAATCGCTTCTTTCTAAATACCAATATTTTGATTAAACTATAAAGTTCTGTTATTTTTTTCATAACACGGTGCCTTAAGCTCTCTAGTGTGAATATATTTTCAATATGTAATGATACACAGAGGAAACAGTACAATACAGTAAATCTTAAAAATAGTAATGACAAGAAATCATTTAGAACAATAGAGTTAATTCTAAAACAACCTTAATTACAATTAATTAGTAATTTAATCTATATGGTTATTTTTTATATCCATTACTTACCCTTTTTCATATATGAATTCATCCTTCAGGGAATTAGCTGATGATTCACCAATAAAGACAGATGGTATGTCGATTTTCTTTAGCACATCGACTGTATAAAATAATAATAAAATTATTTGTAAAAGCCTATACTTAATATACAATCAACTTAACTTTCATAATAGCAACAAATGCAACTGCAAATAATTACAATGAACCTGAATTGTGTACTGGTCGATTTTCCCAATTGCAGATTTATACTATTATCAAATATCAAAACTGAATAGGAAAAATGGCAAAAACAGAAAATAGAAAACCTTTCCTTTTTCTTTTTATACATGTTCAAACTCAAATAGTCATAGGTTTATTCCCACTGAATAATCAGAATTTGAATTTACTGTACTGGTTTTGTACAGTACAATATATTGTACAAAACAAACATAACATTTACAATAATAAAAGTTAACATTTTTCATACGTACATTACCATACTACCTCAATAGTCCTATGAGACTGGGATATAATTATTTTTAATATTTCCATTTGATTTATTCCTTCGTGGATATAATTAACTATTAGAAAAGGAAGAAGAAAAAATTCTGTTTTCTTTCCACACTTAATTCCTAAATAAAAAGTTCAAAGCTTTTTTTACATACCCATTCCCAGGAGAGGTGTAAGCCAAAGAATGTAAGAAAACATCACTTCACAACAGTCTGAAAAATGACATCACACATCCACGGCTTTCCAGAGTGAAAGGAAAGCTGTATAAATTTCTATTTCTTCCTAAGTCTGGAGTTCGTGGCAAAGCTTTGTGTTCTGATTGATATCTTAAGAAATTTGACTCTTATACTATAAAATCAAAAGCAAATGCCAAAAGAAACAAACAAAAAGAAAACTCCTCTAAAACTTTGTAAAAATTATCCATTGACAGGAAGAGAAATAAAACCTTGACTCT